TTCATTTCTGAAGTCGGAAAGTAATAAAAGATTAAGATGAAAAAGTTACAGTAGGGACTTGAGTGAAAAAGGAGGACTTAAGCAGTCTTTTGGCCAGCTTGGCTGGCTCTAAGGCTGACAATGAGTGTGTATGTAAATGTGAGGTTGTACTGTACTGAGGGTGTCTGTAGCTTGAGGGTTGTAATTGTGATTGGTGATATGTAGTGATGAGTGAAATCCTTGTGATATGTTATCCATTGTTGGGTAAGGGTTGATCCAGGTGTGTTCCAGTGACGCCTCCGTGGTGACCAAGGGTGAATTTGTCCGTAGAGTCCAGTTCTTGAGCCGTATGGTGTGATTTCTGAAATAGTGGGTGATAATATGAAGAAAATATATATAAGAAAAGAAAAAAGGAAAAACTTTGAATTTTCACATTTTTGACTACCACACCGGATTGGGTTTGGGCAATGTGATTTTCTCACAAATCCTGCCCAAACCCGACCTGTGACCCATTGGGTCTTGGGTTGGCTTTGGGTTGCCCCAACCCATTTACACCCTGATGCAAATCTGATGACTACATGTGTAATGTGTAATGTGTATTATTGGTGGTCAAGGCCTGCACCACAATAACAATCAACTTGAGCAACAAAACACCCCATATCAGTGTTGGATAGTTGTTAGCTTTGATGACCAGAAACAATACTAATAACAATTTTTGAGCAATAAAAGGGCTGATACAAGACAAATTTGGGTGTTTTTGGCACAATAAACCTGTTGTTGTGTTCTTATATCAGGCTGTGTTTGGACCTATGGAAAAAGGGAATGAAAAAAGCAACATATATTGGGACAGTTCACACTTGAGGTCAAGTGCTGCTGCCCTGTGATGAAAAAACAGGTTGAATTACTGTGACTAGAGCAAGAGCTAAAAGAGGAAAACAAGTTAGAAATGAGAAATTAGAATGAGAGCAAAGAAAGACAAAAGATGATTCATAAAACATACCATGAGCAGAATAAACCAGAAAAAAAATAGACAAGCTGAAGCATAAAAGATCAAACAGAGATAGGTAGTAGACACTGATGAAGAAACAGGAAGAGAATGTAAGCACAATGATTTTTTTTGATGATGGAGAAGAAGGGTGAGTGTTGCTGTTTTTCTTGCCAACTTGGTAATAACCAATTGAAGGTTTTGATAATTGAATTCGGTGAGTTGAGAAGATATGTTGAGGATTGAAGATGATAGTTGATGTGATATCGGGATTGAAAAAAGTGTAAGATGAGAGAGAACAGAGAGAGAAGGAATAGAATGGAAGAGGAGATGAAGCTGAGTAAAAATGGAAGGGATAGACAAGAGTGAGTGTAGATTGTTGAATGAAGAATAGCAGAAGCGGTGAGGACAAGATGGGTTTTTGGTGAAGTTTGGTGAAGTGAGTGAGGCTGTTGAGTGGGAGAGATCTGAGGCCTTTTATATTTCAGGTACCAATGTTTGAGTTGTGGTTGTGTGCAGAGTGAGAGAGTAGGTCTGTTTGTGAGCAGAGTGTTTGAGTTGTGGTTGTGTGGAGAGTGAGAGTAGGTCTGTTAGGGAGTGGAGTTTGGGAGAGAGGATGAGCGGAGTGTTGTCAGGCTTGGGGTACTTACGTGTGACGGAGAGGTAGTAGCTATAGCCTGACTAGGAGAAATAGGATTAGAATCCTGGATAAGACGAGAGGTTAATAATAGGTCTAGCGGTAGCACGGCTCAGAGATAGCTCGATGAGGCTTACGTGAATCTTCCAGCAGTCTGATGACCGGGGCAACCAATCTCTGTAAGCTATAGTTGGGAAGTTAACACTTCATGTTAACAAGCGGGGGAACAGTCAAAGGGGAACTCGGAGAAGGCGTCAGAAGATTGTGGGAAGGTCGTGGTGAGGCGTAGGAGGTCGTAATGTGTAGAGACGAAAATAATACTAAGCTTTAGAGCTATCAAGGACGTTGAGGAAAACAACTGGCAGGCAGAGGCCTCCTTATATAGTCAATTATGAGGGATTTTAGCCCCAAGGGACCCCCTAAGTGAGGTATTTTAGCTGCCCTATCCTTGAAAATCCTGAGGGATTTTGGCTAGACTATCTACAACACATTACTTTTATATGTAAGCTGTAAGAAAGGAATTCATGTGTTCTGTGGCTGAATAAATGGGAATTTAACTGGTACAACTGGCGGCCAACTTGTGGTTCTGTAAGTGTAAAAGGAATTCAATATGTATAAAAGGAATTCTATATGCAATATGCAATATACCCCCATGCAATATACCCTCCAGCTGAGTACCTCTGATCCTGTGATTCTCCGTGTGACATCCTTGATTCTGTGTAACTTCTGATCCAGTAGAGACATGAAGGTGGTTCCAGTGAGTGACTAGGGGTTAAATTGGCTGTAGATTCCATTTCTGATGTCCATTTGTCCCTATCTTTAGTCCTTTATTGAAAGTGTCCCACGCTTTATTTCTCTTTTATTTATTCTTCTTCAATTCTTATGAGGGGGTTAGGATTACTTAACCCCTGACAAGTGTGATGATCCTGGGAGCAGTTCAGAGTTCTTTCAGGATTTCAACACCCTGGTTTGCTTACACAGTGCTGCTTGCAGGGTTTGGAAATCTACTATCTCACCAGCCAAATTGGATTGCACTTGTAAGCCCAAACCTGGAATTGTTGTGTTGCTGAAGAATCTTTATAAATGTGAACCCACCCTCCTCTATTAGGACAGCTCACATTTTTAAAGATTTCAGCAAATTCTTTCACGTGAAACCAGCAGAGCAAGTTGAGTTTGCAGGCTTAAAAATTTGCCGGTATGTCTGCCATATTTTGGAGTTTTTTGAAACCTGTGAGCAGAAATTTTATCTGAAATCAACAGGATTTTATTCCAATGTGAACCATCCTATTGTTTTGTGTCACTGTTTTGATGTGATAGAAAATAACACATTCTCCATGAAGATCAAGGCCAACATGTTATGCAATAAAGGCCAACTATCACCAATTGTTGAGTTATGTGTCACATTGTTTGCTTCCTCCCTGATGCTCCAGTGTTGCAATCTGAGACACTTTTTGATGTAGTTACCTCAGGCCAGCAGGGCAAATGAATGGCTTCCTCATCCATCACTGCTGGAATTAGGTGAGCCTTTCTCCTTGTTTTTCCTTCTGTTTCTGTTCCCCTTTTCTCTCAGTCTGTTCTTTCTTCTCTGATGATGAAATAGATCCTTCCATCAATCCATCACTGCTGGACATAGCTCATCCCAACACCAATTAAGTGGTTGAGTTTGCCTACCGGTTTGTTTGAAAACAACCATGGGGGACTCGTATTGATTTGTTAGTTTGTATCAATTTCAACCAGCTGCTCAATATCTTTCTCCTCTTCCTACTCAATCTGCCAAAAGAAAAGGTTTGTTTCTTGTTGCAGAAAAAAAAAAAATTAAAGGGAGTTTATTTTTGTCAGTCAGTTGGTTGGTCTGTTACAACCCACAAACCATGATCAGTTTGAAAAACAAAAAAAAGCTTTAATGCTATAAAGTGAAGAACAAGAAAAAGAAAAGGAAAAAAAAATGGTAGCAAGGAAGGGGTGATCTAGGAAAGAAGAAACAGATGATGGTTCAGTGAGGAAAATACAAACAAAGAGGTCAACTCAGTTATAACTTTAGAGCATCTCTAACGGTCTGGGGGTGGATCAACTCGACTTCAGCAGCCCGGGAGTAGATGTCCCAAGATGTCACCCACATGTCACAACAGTCCAAAATATGGACTGTGGATGTGGGCAGGGGTGGATCAAACCTGACATTGAAATTTCCGTACACATGAAACATTTTTGTATTCTCTCAAACTCCTGCATTTTTTTTTTCAATTTTCATTTAGTGCATTCAGTGAGAAATGCATCCCATTGTGTGCTTTTGGATTGCGAGACAAGAAGATAAGAGAGAAGAAGTGAGAGTTTGAAGCGAGAAGAAAGAGAGATTGTGTAGTGAAAGAAAGAAGCGAGAAGGCATGTAGAAACCAGGCAAGAGTGATGAGAGCGAGATACAACAGAGGAGCGAGCTACAACAAACGAGCGATCTACAACAAAGACAACAAATCGACTCTGGTCGATCCCTTTTGGGAGGCATGGTATTGGTGTAGGATGTGTTGCGATATGTAGTGTTGATATCAAGAAGTGCATAAAAAAGGGGAAATGGGACGACGGGTGGACCGAGAGGTGGCTATGGCAGCTTGGAGGATGGGATGCCAAAGCTGCCAAAAGTAGCAGCCGAGGGCAGCTTGGGTCCACCCCCGGAGCCATCAGCAGCTTGCTCAGCATGGCCGCTAGAGGCCAAAAAAGGCTCGTGGCCCGCTGAAGTCGGTCCCAGGTCCCGCATCAGCAGGGCCGTTAGAGATGCTCTTATGTGTACTACAAAAAAAAGAAAGGCAGAGAGAGAAGGAATGAGAGGATACATAAGGACCAAAGAAGAAGACTTGATAAACCTCTGTTTGATTTGTTCATTCAACTGTAATTCACTCATTTATTCAGGCCCATCAACATCAACAAAGATATCTTATCATTCGAACAAAACACATTCAAAAAAAAAAAAAGGGAAGAGACAATGATTGTGTCCAAAGTAATAAAAAAAAGTTCAACTCAAGACAAAACAAACCTAAGAGAAAGGGACCACATCGGTCCAAGTACTACACCTGTCTCTCCGTCTTTGTCTACCTTTTTTTCAGTCCTTTTTTGGTCTTTTTTTGGGGGGGGGGGGTCATTGGAAGAATCACAGATAATTGAAACACAGAGACACAAAGCAAGAAGTAAAACAAACCAAAAAAAGACAAAGAAAAAAAAGAAAGAAAGGGATCATAGATTATATCACATGTTTATTTCCTTCACATACATAGCTTAAATAAATTTCTTGTTTCTCCAGAGGGGTTTTTCCCCTTCACTGTGTTTTTCTTTTTTTTTGTATTAGAAAGGGTGAAAGGATAAGTAACAAAGGAAGAGACAAGTAACAAGGGGTTGGAAGTTGAATTTGAAGATATTTAAATGTGAAAGTAAGAAGAAGAAAAAAAAAGCAAAACAAAACCAAACCAAACACCAGATGGACAAAGAAATCCTCATCACATTGAATTGTGTGATTGGATAGAGAAGACAATTGAATCCATCAACCAACCCACAATATCTGATCTTGCGCTGAAAAACACCCAACTTCTTGTTTTATTTTTTTCAAAGGAGAAGGGGCCGGCAAGGGATTCATGAAGAAAAACAAAAGAAGGAAGTGAGGGAATGAAGATCAAAAGAGGAAGAAGAGAGGGAGAGGGAAACAGAGAGAAATCAATCGTCATCGAGGGTGAGATCGATGACGCAATCGGCCGAATGACCAGAAGACTTATGTCGTTTATTAGAGGCGCGAGCGCGAGAGGAGCCGGGAGGACGCATAGGATCATCATCATCATCATCATCATCGTCGTCGTCGTCGTCATCATCATCGTCACCTGCGTCGGACTCGAGTTCGAGGACGGTGACCTTGCGCTTATTGGACCCGGCAGAGTCCTGCTCGTCGGCCGTCCGGGCCCCACCCGCGGGCCGATGGCTCCCACTCCCGCCGCTCTCCACACTCATCACCGACTGCGACGAGCACTTCTTCGCACTCGTCCCCACCGTGTATCGCTCGTCATGCCACTTTCCATCCGCCTCGATCACCACAGTGTCGATCGAACTCGGACTGGCCTTGAGAATCGACTCGAAAAATCTATGCCATCCCACAAGAAACACTTAGTGGATGAGGATTATATAGGAAAATGGATATAAATCTAGACTCAACTCGTCGATCGCAATCTCCTCGTTCTTCAGCTTCGCGTTGCACACCGGACAGAGCCAGGTCGGCGTCTGTTCCATCATCGTGTAGAACATCTCCGCATCGAAGCATTGAAGATGCTTGCATCGGCTCGAGCGAATCGGCGTCTTGATCCGCATAAAGACCACCGGATCCTTCAGCGTCAGTTCGGAGGCTGACGTGATGATATCTTCATCTCCCGCACTGGCAATGACTGTCGATTGAAAAAAGCGATCTTTGTTAGTTTATTGCCGTCTCTGATGCTCTTCAAAGCTTGAAACCATTTCTTCTCATTCTGCCCAACTCAACTCTCTTGTAAAACTTGGTTGTGTGCTCGTTTTCGGTTCGCTTTCAAGTTCTTCATCAGCCCATAAACGCCATAATATTCGACCAAATAGATCACAAAGAAGAACCTCTGGATAAGAAGAGAAACGACGATTAGATTAAAAGAATTTGTGTATATGTGTGTATGTATGTATGAAAGTGAAAGCAAGAACCTTATCGGAGTTAGAGTAAGCGATTTCGATTTGATTAGGTCTACCTTCCTTCAAATCGAGGGCCTGACCGGATCCATTTTTACCGGGGACTTGAGCGAGATTGGGAGGAGGAGCGGTGCCAGGCTGTTTCTTGATTCCCTTGAGATTGGAGGTGATTGAGCAAGTGTTCAACTTGATGTCGGTCGTCGTAGGGAATTCGATCAAGGCAGCAGACATGGCTTGGGTATTGGGTCCGGCTGGAAAGCTGGGATGGTTATAAAACGTTTCCGAGGTCGCAAACAGTCGGAGTTGGTATTGGCTTCCAGATGCGTTCACACTACGTAACCGGGGTTTTGAGCTTTTGTCTCCGTTGTATTCGGATTATGCAAATCAAATCACGTACTGGCTTGGAGATAATTTGGCCCTCTGGTCAGCCGATAGGATTAGCGATAATGGGACCGATTTACGATCATTTTGGGCAGCTCCTGAAAACATAAAAAAAAAGAAGCTTTGTCTGAGTGTATCGCTCGCAAGAGATGTTATCTGTTATCTGTTAGACTGACGATGGCAGATTGCGACTCCGGAGGCAGCGGAATCGACGCGATAGAACGGAGATTTTTCGAAGCAGATCGGCAGAGTTCGAGGGTTGAAGGCGGCAGAGTTATTGTGGTAGGGGGGCAAGACTTGATGAGCTTTGGGAGGGAATCCTTGGCCGGAATGGTTAGGGCTGATGCCGGAGTTGGCGCTGTAATGTTGGTTGTTGTTGTTACTAGGTTGTTTGATGGGGTAGCCCGAAGATCTCATATTGGCAGGGGTGCTAGTGCTTCCAAAGACAGGATCAGCCTTGGGTGGATGATGATGACTATGATGACTATGATGATGATGATGGTGTGCTAACGGGACGGGGCCCAAGTCAACGACGGGAGCATTCGCTCGATTGGATGTCGACGAGGCAGCTGTGGAGGATGAGGGGACGGTTGAGGGTGGGGGGTAGGGTTGATGGCCGGAGGGGTGTTGTTGCTGATGGGTGGTGCTGTTGAGAGTGCTTCGATGGTAGGTTGGTATATATGGTTCGCGACAGTATCGGTAGATTGCAGCTCTGATGTGGTCGTAGTTGTCGAGTTTGTTTGAGGTGATGGCTTCTTGAAGGTAGCCTTCGATCCGGATGATTAATTCGTCTGTATATGAGTCAGACAGATAAGTTTCGTTCCTTCTTTCTTTCTTTCTAGTCAGCAAGGATGAAGACGAGCCTTTCTTCCCGGAGATCCTGGCGGCACAGAGTAGATAGCTGTTGATCGTTCTGATGATTCCTTTGAGTTCTTCGACCCTGAGCGAGGGTAAAAACGAACGAAGTTTCTGTTGAGGATTAGGATGGAGTGAGGATGAAAAATGAGAGTTGCAAGTGTGTCAACAGATGAACTGGAGAGATACACATGTCGATGGAGGATGAGTGTGACTGAGTTGTTTCTATGGATGGTTCTTCTGCTGATGGGGATGAAGCTTACGGTGAAGTCCTGGTAGACCGTTGTCATCGTCGAAGGGTGTTGGTTCTTGTTGGTTCTTGTTGGGTTTTTTGTTGGGTGCTGTTCCTTTTTCCAGAGACTGCTCTTTGGAGTTGTTCAGCCCCATCTCACATGAAAGGCTCAAACTTCCAATCAACCCTTTTCCAGAACAAAAACACCCAACCTGATGCTCTCCATTCTATGTTTCTCACTCAATCATCGATCAGGTATGATCCTAGCTTCATCTCTCTCTCCTGGGGCTTCACTAGACTTTTATAGTGCTTGATGCTTGTAACCAATTTCTTCCTTTTTTGCGAAAAAAAAAATAATTAAAATAAAACAAAATCAGGACATCATTTAGAAACAAAAAATTGAGTTGAATCCAAAGATCAACCTGTGCAATTTCATCAATGGTGATCAGAAGACTTCTGAAGAAACTGCACAATGAGCCAGAGAGAATGGGGATGAGGTTGTTGTATCTCATCCACCTTCCGCTCTGCAGCAACCCCCAGACCCTCTGCACAGGACCCAGGAAACCCCCTGTAGATGTCAGTAACATAAAATCCATACATTTTTGGGACTCATTCATACACGTTTTGTGCGTAGGCTCAGAGGTCACCCAAACATTTTGTACAATTTTTGTGTGTAACTTTTTTTTTGGCTGGAGGCTAGGATTTTGTATATTTTTTGTCTGTACCATTTTTTGGGGGGGGGACTTGATTAAAGGACTACCAAAAATGGGAGCTCCGACTCCCATTTTTGGGAGTTGTCAAGAGGACCACGGGAGGACCATAGCAGGACGTCCTGGCCCCCTAATTTCTGGTCCCCCTAGCATGTGGAAGTTGCTCCTCCCATTCTCAGTGAGGGAATGGGGGTCGGATCTCAAAAAAAATACAAAAAAGTATAAAACCCCCCGAAGGGTTGGCAGTCAATGGGCCAAACCTTCCAGGGGGCAGTCATTCTCAGTGAGGGAATGGGGGTCGGATCTCAAAAAAAAATACAAAAAAGTATAAAACCCCCCGAAGGGTTGGCAGTCAATGGGCCAAACCTTCCAGGGGAATGGCAGTCATTCTCAGTGAGGGAATGGGGGTCGGATCTCAAAAAAAATACAAAAAAGTATAAACCCCCCGAAGGGTTGGCAGTCAATGGGCCAAACCTTCCAGGGGAATGGCATTGACAACCAAGAGGAAACCCAAGTTATGATCAACCTCTTCATTCATAAAAAAGTCCAATCTTCAATTTCATTGTCTCTTCCGTTTACGTAATCTTTCCAGCTGTTCAGCATGCCATCGTTGATTCTTTCATCTGCAAAAATTGTCCAAGAAATCGCTTTCAAAACGTCATAAAATGATTTACAGCTGTTGTGGAAAAGCTTGCGCTTTTCCACACTTTTTTTTTTTTTTTTTCACCCCGATTTTTTTTTTCCCCGGCCCGACAGCGCAGGTCACCCCCGATCAAGCCAGTGTCTTCCATCAAATTCGGTTGGGTTCCATTACACACCGCTCACCTATCTCTACTGCGACTCTGGAATCCGACAAACCGTTACCACCATGGACCTTCCAGGTATCGTTTTTTCAATATTTTTGACTTTCTTATGGTTTATTTTGGTTCATTGGCTGATTGTAGAATGTTTTAATCAATATAGACTTTTCCGATCAGCTGGAGAAAAGTGAGACATCCGAACAATTCGTGGACTGGTTGAACGAGGCTTTTGGTTTTGAGCCCAAAACTACAGACAATCCACCCTCGGCCAACCCCTCAACCCCTACGAAAGGTCTTGCAGTAACTACAGTCAGCCCTCCGTCAAACCAAGTCAATCACCAATCAAGACGTTTGGAAGAGTCCAACTCGGCAAGACGTAAGGACCATGTAGGCAGCGAACAAATTAAAGTATCAATCGAGTATCGATTCTACGTACTGGACACGAGACCAAAGCCGACTCCCAATACCCGTGTATCAAACAAACGAAAGGCACCACCCATTGAACCCGAGGATAAATACATCAAAATTACGTCGGACCTCGGTAAAGTCCATATCTATTGGGAATCTTCCAACACCTGCCTCAGCGATTTCAAATTGGCTGTAATCGACACCATTGCGGAAAAGGAAGGAAAGCGTCTGGGGGGACATGTACGATCGCAAGAGGAAGAAGGTGATATCTTGTGGTATGCAATAATACCACATGGTCACATGTTTGTTGAGAAGAATAAGACAACCTTGGAGGATGATGATATCTTTGAGGAATTTCTGGCTCAAGCGAAGGGGACTCGGGACGGTCGAAAGAACACAGTGAACTTGTTGCAACGGGACCCAAAAGTTGTTGCTCAGGTATCTACTTTAACCTTCCTTGCATTAGAAACTGGCCCCCTTGCATTAGAAACTGACCCAGATGTAATAAATTGCTTTCTGTTATAGAAAAAGCAGGCATTGGAAAATTTAGAGAAACAGGATGGTGGGAATGAGGAAAGGACTGAATTGAACGATCACGAGCCAACAGCTGGGGCGTCAAACTCACGAGAGATAATGAACAACATCTGGATGCTACGAGCAACTCACATGCCTTGTGAACGATTGACTGGTTCAAGCGAGCTTCCCGTTATGATCTGCCCATCGGATTCTAATCGGTTCATTGCTCTCACAACGGATCGTCTTGGCCTTTGGGCCCGAAGCATGGTGAGCTTGTCTGTTCTTCTATAGATCTGAGTTTGGAAAACTGATATGAAGGTTGAGTTCAGATAAACAACAAAGAAGTTACGTTGCACAAACCACCGATATCTCCGCCATTCAAATTTCAGACGAAGGAGGAGTTCCTAGGGATCTCTGGCCGCAAGCGAGAAGATGCACCAGACCACTTGAACCACGCTGTTTCAGATTCGGCTCAACCACCTGGATCGCGAGGGACCAATCAACAGTTCAGATCCCAATCAACCGAGATCAATCCATTTCCAACAACCAACCACAACCATTTAGCAACAACCACCAACTTCTACCCTTCACAAACGTCACATTTCGCAATGGGTCCCTTTTTTCACCCCCAGATGGGCTGGGCAACCCAACCGTGGGTATGGGGCCCTCAGCAAAATATCTATCAGTCTCACCCTGTTACGCCAACAGCAATGGCTCCAAACACTCTCCAAACTCAAACCGAATCAGTTTCCTCCCCGGCGTGTTCGGAAATCAGTGTTGACATCAACGACTATTTTCATTTTTGCCATGTGGATCCGGAATGTGAGGCGGTCAACAAGGTTCTTTCTGAGTATGGAATTACTCACTACTCTGAATTTGAGAACTTTGAGGCAGGTGAGCTGGAAGCACTTGGAGTCAAGAAGAGTAATGCCAGGTCCCTTGTATCCAGAGTCCAAAAGTTCAAGCAGGGTCTTAAAAAAAGACATCAACAAAAGAAGTATTGATCTCAACTGGTTGCTTTGTACTTGTTTCATCCTTTAAAATTTGGCTTCTATATCTCACTGAGTAGTATCCTTAACACACACTAAACAAAGTTAGTTGATTGCTAAAAGATTAGTTAGAATAGTCATTCAATTGCTAAATGTTTAGTTATGCTCTGCTTCTCATAAAACAGTCTTACTTGAAAATAGTAGTTTTGTCTAGTATGGTACAAAAAAAGTCTTGATCACTTCCAACATCAAGAACTGGCTTCCTTCATTAAACAATTGATATCATTGATTTCCTCCAAAACTGAAATGAATGTGAATGAATTGTGTACAAAGTTGTCTTTGCCATGATTCACATTGCTCAAATAATTTACTGGAACACAAAAGGTCCAAAACCAAAAATGAAAGCAGCATTGCAAATACTTTTTTTGTTTGCTTCTATGAGACTTCAGTAATGAATTAAAAACTAATTGACAAGATAGCCTGACCCAACAAATAATTTACGGGTCAAGTCAGCTGTAAAAACTAATTGCACAAAGCCTTCAATGACCTCATAGTCCTCTTCACCACCTGTTAGTAGATCATCGTTTCGTTTTAAAGTTGATTTGAATACTGAGAAGCCCTTTTCAATGGGGTTCAAATCCGGCGAATAAGCAGGCAAATATTGCAAGAGGCATCCTCGTGATTCAACAATCTCTGCAATACGCCCGTTGTGATGAATTTGTGCATTATCCATGACAAGCACACTGCGCGGCCCTGGAAAAGGGTTCATCAATGGGACCTGCAGAACAGAAATGTGTCAAAAAGTCACAAAGAACTTGAACAGTTGGTCAATCTGACTAACCAGTATGTGCTCCAGAAAGAATTCAAAATCTCGCCGCTCGACCGATTCTTCCTGCACCATGTGCGCGACCAAGCCAGTCGAGGAGATCGCGGGGATGATGTTAAACTGATGAGTGCTCCTCTCGCGTGGGACTCGGGGTGTCCTTTCACCAACTGCAGCCCAGCCTCTTGTTCGCACAGCTACCTCAAGTGAGACACTTGATTCATCTGGAAATGCGATGCAGAATGAATTTGCCGAAACTGAACAGAGAAAAAAGTTGAAGCTCACCTGTAAAAACAAGGCAGGACGCTGGTATGCAACCGATTCGGGAGATATAATGAGCTTGTTGGAATTTCAGCAATGAAATTAGCCCTCGAAAGAGGAGAGTTGCAGGTAAGCTTTACACGTTGATTGTAAGCTACCTAGAGAAGATTATCTGTCATGCTGATCATGTATATTCGGTCATGCATAGAATTCATAGAGTCTGAATCTCTAGCCAAGCGACAAGCTTGTGAAAAAGAGTATGACGTTAATGACGTCATGAATGTAAACGATGATGATCGTCAACCATCGAGCTCTAGGTGAGTCTTGATGTTGACATTCAAGTAGACGGAATGATCGCTAACGATCATTCAATCAACTTGACAAAATCATTCTCAGTTCTGACAATCGCAACGCATCAATCACTCTTATCGACCGAATATCCTCATCGTCCATCGGTGAGTGTAAAAAGCCTTTCTTTTAATTTAAAAGAAAGAGAATAAGATAATAAGACTAACAAATGTCATTCGATCATTTATTACTCATAATTAGATTCAACAAACAAATAAAACAAGTTGAAATTAAAATAAAGAAATAACTGGCTCAATCAACAAGTACAGTTATATTCTTTATTACTGTCTATATCGATCAAGAGAAAATAGACCGCTTAACTGATCAATTTCTGTCTCTTGAATTTAGACTATCAACTCACATTTATCCGCAGAAGTTACAGCGTTATATTATTCTTTTATCATTATTTTCTTTTCTCTTTTACCTAGTTCAGATATTATTCTGCCTTTAGGTAAAAGTCTTTTCATTATACTAATTTTGATTGTATTATGTATTAGAAGAAAAGATAACTTATAAAGAAATAAATACCTTTAGTTTCCAAAATCTTTCAGATTTACAGTCTCGACGATTCTCATCATCGATCTCGATTCCTACGATTTTTGGATACTTCTTTAAGGCAGGATAAAATCTGAAGATGGATACCTTCTCGCGAAAGGATGCCATGGACGATAAAGGCATCAGCGCCGTTCCCAAACTGACAGGCGAAAACTATTCAATTTGGGAATCTAAGATGCATTATTTCCTCGATTCTCGTCAGCTTATCGATGTCTGTCTCCACGAGCAACCTTTACCGATCAGTGACGAAACAAAAGCAAAGCATTCTTGTGCAATGTTTCACCTTAGTTCAGTAGTCGACGACTCGATTTATAATTCCATATTCAAATTATCGTCGAATTTAACCCCTTTTTCTGTCTGGTCAACTCTTAAAACGAAATACGCATCGAAATCAATCTTTTCTCTCTGTAAAGTCTGGCGTTTATGGGACACAATTCACTGTGATCGAGGTATCATTTCCTATGTTGATCGATGTCTAGATTGCTTAGGAGAATTCAAGACTATCGGCTATGACGTCACGCAGGATCTCTTTGCTGTATGCATTATCAGTCGAGTTACTACAGTAAAACAAGACCTTATGGAGAATTTGATGTTGGATGAAGCTCTCGTCTCCGATCCTTATCGACTTTTGGAGAAGCTGCGTACTCTTGCAATTCATGAGCAAACTTATACGAAGCGCGAAGAAAGGCCTACACAACCTAGTAGTTCAACTTCAGCACTTTCGACTAACTTCAAAGGAAAAGGAAAACGTCCTCCTCCTCCGCCTCCTTCGCAAGACTACGAACATCCTTGTCAAAATGGTCATGATCCAAATACGACGCATAGTCAAAGGAATTGTTGGTACGATAATCCAACCAAACGACCAAAACGTTTTCGAGCTTATCCACCAGCAAAAGCCACCATAACTCAGACAACTACTTCAAATCAGTCGAATCAACAATCTTCAAGCAGTAATGCAAACAATGAAAACGCTGTTCCATCATTTGGATACTGTAGTACTATTCTTCAGTCAGCTGCATCTCAGTCAAAACTAATAACGATTCTTGACTCCGGAGCTAGTAATCACATGTTCAATTCTCTTGAATTTTTCGTAAAAAGTGAACCGACTCACATCTTCATAGTTACTGGCGATGGAAAATCGAGAGAAGAACTTGTTGCTGTTAGACGAGGAACAGCAATGATTCAAATGGCCGACGATAAAGTTATTACTCTACACGACTCTCTTTTTGTTCCTAATTTGACACGTAATCTCATCTCTCTCGCTCAATTAATCGATGAAAAAATCTTAATTCAACGAGCTGGTCAAGTTTATGAAGTCATTTCGAACAGTCAAGAAAAATTGTTTAATGTGAATTTATCGAATCAACTTTTTGAAATTGAAGGCGATATTTTTCCTCCGCATCATCAAACGGTTGCAATGCTTACAGACTCAGTTGAAACTTCTGGCTTCACAAAATGGCATAATCGTCTTGGCCATGCAAGTACAAATCGACTGAAAGTCGTGGTTCCTTCGAGCGAAAAACTAGTTAAAGAAAAGTGCTGCGATTCGTGTATGAAAGGAAAAATGACTCGGCAAAGTTTCAAGCATCACTTTGATCCAACTTCAGCTGCTCTTGAAGTCATTCACGGTGATTTAGTCGGACCGATCACTCCATCATCGAATGGTGGAGCAAGATACTTCTTGACACTTGTCGATCAATTCACTGGATTTATCAACATTACGATTCTTAAAGAAAAAAGTGAAGCGCCCGATGCGATCGAAAAATTTAAAATTTTCTATGAGAATCAAACTGGCAATCGGTTGAAGAAATTGATCACGGACGGCGGTGGCGAGTTCTGCAACAAGAAACTGTCGGGTATACTCGAAGCGAGTGGAGTTCAACATAATGTTTCACCACCATACACTCCACAGCAAAACGGTTTTGCAGAGCGTGCAAACCGTACAATTCTTGACATGACTCGGTGTATTCTGATGCAATCGAATTTAGCACCTGAATGGTGGGCGGAAGCAGTGAAAACTGCTTGTGCAATTACTAATTGCTTGCCGTCGTTGTCAAAAAGCCGCACCTCACCAATCGAGCTTTTATTCAAGAAAAGGCCGAACATTAATATCTTCCGACCTTTTGGCTGCAAAGTTTGGTCATTGAAACCGGAGGTTTATCATGAAAGAAAATTTGACTCTTTATCATGGGAAGGTGTTTTGATCGGATATTCTAACGATTATTCGACGTATAAGGTGGTTAGGCTTGATAATCATCAAATAATCAACATCAAACACGCCTACTTTGAAGAGAATGTTTTTCCATTCTGTCCGGCGTTGAACAAAAGTCTGGATAATTTAAAGCTTTCGAACAATCTGCCGGTATTTCAGGACTCCTCTTCTTTGCCTTTCGACGAAAGTCAGTTACCCGTTGAAGAGCATTCCGAAGAAGACCATCCAGAAGAACTGCTTCAAGAAGAGATCATCAATGAAAAACAAGCGCAAAACGGCAATGACGACAAAATTATTAACAGCAACATTGATGAATCCAATATCTTAACATATTCTAGACGCACTGCATTATTGTCTACGGCACCAAAAACGCACACGCAGGCGATGAAAGGAAAGGAAATCGATGAATGGAAGAAAGCTGAGAAGAAAGAATACGAGAATATGGACCAGCATAAGGCTTGGCTAGTGCGAAAGAGAAGAAATGACGACACACCAATACCGTTAACCTGGGCCTTTCGGAAAAAGCTAGGAGCGAACAATGAGGTTACAGAGTTCAAAGCGAGAATCTGCGTACAAGGATTTCGGCAAACCTTTGGTCTTGATTTCTTTGCGAAATACGCGCCAACAGGAAAACCTTGCTCGCTTCGACTCCTTATTTCCTTCGCCGTTAACAACGATATGAAAATTCATCAACTCAATGTGAGAAGTGCTTTCTTGACGTGCCCTCTGGAAGACAAAGTCACGGTCACGCCACCACCAGGGTACGAAGGCCCAGAGGATACTGTTTTTGAATTGAAGAAGGCAGTTTATGGGTTACGTCAAGCACCGCTCGTGTGGTACAAACGTCTATCAAACTTTCTAAAGACGATTGGATTCAACATCTGTGTATCAGATCCATGTGTATTTTGGCGAGAAAATCAACCTGGAAAACCGATGACATGGATCTATGCTCACGTGGACGATTTGGTAATCATAAGTCGCAATCCGATAATTTTCAAAGAGGAAATTGAGAAAGAGTTCGCAGTCAAGTACTTGGGAGATGCTGAATTTCTTCTAGGAATGAACATTATTCGATCTAATGGATCAATTAAAATCAATCAACAACAGTATATTGAAAGAAAATTGACTCAGTTCGATCTTCAAGATGCTCATCCAGCATCTTGTCCTTTAAACCCAAGAATTCAGTTGAACAAGGCAACAGTAGAGGATCAAGAATCTCTCAAACGACTCGGTTATAACTATCGATCAATTGTTGGCTCTCTCAATTATCTCAGTATCTTGACTCGTCCTGATATATCTTATGCGGTTAGCGCTTTATCACAATTTCTAGAACATCCGGGTTTAACACATTACAATGCAGCGGAGCAAGTTTTTCGTTACATTGGAGGAACGCGCAAAGTCGGCTTAACGTACAAGAAACAGCAAGAATCTAGCCTGAAGGGATACGTTGACGCGGATTGGGGCAATTGTCTAGTTACACGACGATCAGTTTCGGGATACGTCGTTATGGCTGGAAGTCATCTTCTTTCTTGGAAGTCGAACAAGCAAGATACGATTTCTTTGTCCTCAGCGGAAGCAGAGTATAAAGCATTGTCCGATCTTAGTCGTGAAATGGTTTGGATTACTAGTTTAATCAATGAAGTCAACGTTATGAAATCACCGATCAACATTCCGATTTATGTCGATAACAAAGCTGCTATTGATTTGGCGAATAGTGAAACTTCTCAAAATGGTTTTCGAACAAAGCACATGGACATACGACTTCACTTTGTTCGGGAACATATTCAGTCAAAATTAATAACGCTTCTTTACATTAAATCGAATGAAAATCCGGCTGATTTTCTAACTAAATCAGTTGGTCGATGTACAATTCGACGATCATTGAAGGTACTGGGAATCTATGGAGACTTGGATTCTGCTTTGCATCTTACGACTCAAAGCACGGATGACTGTTGGAATTTCAGCAATGAAATTAGCCCTCGAAAGAGGAGAGTTGCAGGTAAGCTTTACACGTTGATTGTAAGCTACCTAGAGAAGATTATCTGTCATGCTGATCATGTATATTCGGTCATGCATAGAATTCATAGAGTCTGAATCTCTAGCCAAGCGACAAGCTTGTGAAAAAGAGTATGACGTTAATGACGTCATGAATGTAAACGATGATGATCGTCAACCATCGAGCTCTAGGTGAGTCTTGATGTTGACATTCAAGTAGACGGAATGATCGCTAACGATCATTCAATCAACTTGACAAAATCATTCTCAGTTCTGACAATCGCAACGCATCAATCACTCTTATCGACCGAATATCCTCATCGTCCATCGGTGAGTGTAAAAAGCCTTTCTTTTAATTTAAAAGAAAGAGAATAAGATAATAAGACTAACAAATGTCATTCGATCATTTATTACTCATAATTAGATTCAACAAACAAATAAAACAAGTTGAAATTAAAATAAAGAAATAACTGGCTCAATCAACAAGTACAGTTATATTCTTTATTACTGTCTATATCGATCAAGAGAAAATAGACCGCTTAACTGATCAATTTCTGTCTCTTGAATTTAGACTATCAACTCACATTTATCCGCAGAAGTTACAGCGTTATATTATTCTTTTATCATTATTTTCTTTTCTCTTTTACCTAGTTCAGATATTATTCTGCCTTTAGGTAAAAGTCTTTTCATTATACTAATTTTGATTGTATTATGTATTAGAAGAAAAGATAACTTATAAAGAAATAAATACCTTTAGTTTCCAAAATCTTTCAGAGCTCGCTCTTCGGAATCTTGGCAAGGATTTACAGTCCGGATAGTTTTTTTAGACATTTTCAAACGCTGATGGAGAGTGGTTGAAATCGTTTTTAATGAGACCGATGTTCCCTTCTCGTTAAGTAAAGCCCTCTGGATTTCATCCAGATATACCGTTGGTTTTTCTGTGATCATCTCTTTGATGAATTCTAGCTCTTCGTCATCCAACTCAAATGGCCGGCCTCTTGTTTGATACGTCGCAGGATCACATACAACCGCGCGAGTTGTCTCATACAAATTCGTCCATCGGCGAAGGGAGTCTTTGCTGACAGTCGAGGCCATAGCGGTGTTGATTTCGGATAAAGTCATGCCATCGATGGCAGCTCTAACAAACTTGTATTTGAACTTGGCCGGATAATCGACATAAGGCATTTTAAGGCTCTATGAAAATGAAGTCGGGTCAGTTGTGTTTTTTAATTGAAGAAAATGAATGAAACTTGATCACTCACAGATAATCGGACGAGTGAGTGGACTGATTCGGTGTTGTGGGTCCTCAGGAAGGGAGGTGTCCGGGAGGGTTGTAGAAGCCACCGGGCAAACTGGCTTGATCGGGGGTGACCTGTGCTGTCGGGCCGGGGGGAAAAAAAAATCGGGGTGAAAAAAAAAAAAAAAAAGTGTGGAAAAGCGCAAGCTTTTCCACAACAGCTGTACATCATAGAAGAGGCTAGGTTCTGCAAGGATTTGAGTTGGTCATAGGCTTTTGGTCTTCAAGTCGCATTGCAGTTCCGGATTCAATTGAAATTTGAAGATGATCTTGAAGGTTGATCAGAACATTGGTTCCTAAGAGGGGTTGATGGTGCAAATCCGTCTTCCAAATCTGGTGTACTGAACGGTAGACTCATGTTGATTTTGATTGATTTTCCTAGTTTTCCTTACTTGACGCTCCTTCAATACCCAAACAAACGGCTGCTCTGAAAAAGAAACAAATAATACTTTGGTCACTGGTTTATTTACCAGGGCAAGATTATAGTCTTCTTTAAAGATAATAGATCAGTTAACACTGGGAAGTTCTTCTTTTACAGAACCTACTTATCCAAATTCCTCAGGTACCTTTGCCCTTCTTTTGGTATCTAAGCAGCTGCTTTCTTTGAATAGTTCCCGAGTTGTCTTCAAACAGTATCCTAGTTATCCAGATCCTTTGGTCTCTTGCCTTCTTCTGGTCAATAACTGGCTGTCTTCTTCGAGTCCTTGTTTCAGTTGATTCCTACGCTTTCTTTCCAGAGGTTGGTTGTTTATGTCGTTGAATTGTTATTGAAGTTTGACTAGTTGATCAACAGAATAACTGAATATGCCGCTGAGTTGTCCAATTTTGTTTGATGAATTCGTTCCATTTTACCGCTAGAAGTAATGATCCTTTGCCAATATCTTTGTTGATTTCCTCTTGTTTCGTTTAGAATTGGTTATACGATGTCACTCAAAATTTTATCCTATCATGTTGGGGACTCCCTTGTAAGACTCAAAAGTGGTTGTGAAACCCTTTTGCTGAATGGAGAAGGGGATGGTGGAGGTGCAAGCTCTGCCCTTCTATGCTATCAGAACAACAAGATCACCAAGCTCAGCTTGGCAGTTTATATATTGTGATAGAGGATGGTTTGAGATGAAGCTTTTGACTGATGCGTATAATGGTTGGAGGTGTTGATGAAGTTGTTGATGGAGGTGTTGATGATTGTTGTTGAGGTTGAGGCTTGAACGCAGGTCCTTGAGGTTGAGGGTATATAAAGCTGAAAAGAGGTGATTGTGAAATAAGGCACAGGTGCTGGGAGCACTATGCTTCAACCAGGAATGGAACGGAGGACCAGGCACAGGTGGAGTTAAGGTGGAGATAAGGTGGAGTTAAGGTGGAGTTAAGGTGGAGTTAAGGTAGAGTTAAAGTGGAGTTGGGGTGGATGTCTTGAATGGGAATTGAACCCAGGTCCTTGTGGTTGGGGTGTATAAAGCAAAAAAGCAGTGGATTTCAGGCAAAGGTGACACCACGGACAATTGCATGTCCCTCCCGCGCGGAGCGACATCTGGGGGTTTCATTGGGGGTTTCGTGCGCAGTCACTGCGCCTACTGCCGCAGTCACGCACGCGGATTCGTCAAGGTGACGGTTACATCCGCGGCGACACGCAAATGACCCTGGTGTGAGATAGCTGAGTGGTTATGAAAAAGTGATGTTGATATTTCTACACTATAAAGAACTGTTATAATATATATAAGGGGGGTAGTGATTGTAAAACCTCAAGACTAAGTAGCTAATAATATTGAAGAGTGACCAGTGATGTAGTGTTATGGGGGGGGACTGACTACAGAGCATCTGATGAGGAGGGAATACAACTGGCAGGCAGAGGCCTCCTTATATAGACAAAAGTGAGGGAATTTAGCTCCAGGGTACATGCAGCGGTGGGCCGCTACGCTACGCTTTTGGCCCAAAAAGCG